TTCTTTAAGTGCTTCTCAGCCATTCAATAATGTTCTGTTGTGAATTCTTGGTTTAGTTCTGTACCCTATTTTTTAAATGGATTATTTGATTTGTTGATGTTTAGTTACTTCTTTGTATATTTTGGATAGCAGTCCTCTGTCCTCTGTAGGGTTAGTGAAGATCCTTTCCAAGTCTGTAGGCTGCCATTTGGTTCTACTGACAGTGTCCTTTGACTTACAGAAGGCTCTCAGTTTCATGAGGTCCCATTTATTAATTGTTGATCTCAGAGCCTGTGCTGTTGATGTAATATTCAGGAAGTTGTCTCCTGTGCCAATGAGTTCAAGGATAAACCCCACTTTTTCTTCTAATAGACTTAGAGTCTCTGGTTTTATGTCAAGGTCTTTGATCCACTTGGACTTGAGATTTGTACAGGGTGGTAGATAGGTCTGTTTGCGTTTTTCTACATGCAGTCATCCAGTTAGACCAGCAGCATTTGTTGAAGATGTTGTCTTTTTTCTATTCTATGGTTTGGGCTTCTTTGTCAAAAATCAAGTGCTCTTAGAAGTGTGGGTTTATTTCTGGGTCTTCAATTCTGTTCCAATGATCAACCTGTCTGTTTCTATGCCAGTACCATGCAGTTTTTATTACTGTTGCTCTGTAGTGCAGCTTGAGATCAGGGATGGAGATACCACCAGAAGATCTGTTACTGTACAGAATTGTTTTGGCTATCATGGGTCTTTTTTTTTTCCATATGAAATTAATGTCTCTCCTTCCTGGTCTGTAAAGAATTGTGTTGGTATTTTGATAGGAACTGCATTGAATCTGTAGATTACTTTTGGCAGGATGGCCATTTTTACTATGTCAATCTTACTGATCCACAAGCATGGGAGATCTTTCCATCTTCTAAAATCTTCGATATCTTTTTTCAAAGACTAGAACTTTTTGTCATACAGGTCTTTCACTTCCTTCATTAGCATTACACTAAGGTATTTTACATTATTTGTGGCTATTGTGAAGGGTGTTGTTTCCCTAATTTCTTTCTCAGCCCTTTTGTGGCTTGTATAAAAGACGGCTACCAGCTTTTTAAAATTAATTTTGTATCCAGACACTTTGCCAAAGGTGTTTATCAGCCATAGGAGTTCTCTGGTAGAATCTTGGGGGTCACTTATGTATACTGCCATATCATCTGCGAATAGTGATACTTTGACTTCTTCTCTTCCAATTTCTATCTTTACTTGCCTTATGGCCTCATAGAATGAGTTTGGCAATGTTCCTTCTGTGTCTATTTTGTGGAAAATTTTGAGGAGTGTTGGTATTAGTTCTTCTTTGAAGGTCTAGTAGAATTCTGTGCTAAAACTATCTGGCCTTGGATGCTTTTGATGACCGCTTCTATTTTCTTCGGGGTTATAGGTTTACTTAAACTGTTAACTTGAACTTGATTTAACTTTGAGAAGTGGTATCTATCAAGATTTCATTTACATTTTCCAATTTTTGTGTTGTACAGGTTTTAATTAAATTTTTTAATGATTTATTTATTTCTTATGTATATTCTGCTTGCATGCAGGCCCGAACACCAGATCTCATTATAGATCACCAGGAGGACACCAGATCTCATTATAGATGGTTGTTTGTGAGCCACCATGTGGTTGCTAGGAATTGACTTTGGAAGAACAGCCAGTGCTCTTGACCTCTGAGCCATCTCTCCAGGCTTTGTCATACAAATTTTTGAAGTATGACATTATGATTCTTTGGATTTCCTTGATGTCTGTTGTTATATCCCCCTTTTCATTTCTGAATTTATTAATTTGGATATTCTCCCTCTTTTAGTTAGTTTGGCTAAAGGCTTGCCTATCTTGTTGATTTAAAAAAAAAAACAGCTCTTGGTTTTGTTGATTCTCTGTATTTTCTCTTTGTTTCTAGGTTATTGATTTCAGTCCTGTGTTTGATTATTTCCTGCCATCGACTCCTTTTGAGTATGTTTGCTTCCTTTTTTTCTATAGCTCTCAGGTGAGCTCTTAAGTTGCTAGTATGAACTCTCTCTACTTTCTTTATGAAGGCACTTAGCACTATGAACTCTCCTATTAGCACTGCTTTCATTGTGTCCCATAAACTTGGATATGTTGTGCCTTCATTTTCATTGAATTCTAGAAAGTCTTTGATGTCTTTCTTTATTTCCTCCCTGACCCAGTGGTCATTAAGTGGAGAGTTGTTTAGTTTCCATGAGTTTAGAGGCATTCTATTGTTTCTGTTGTTGAAGTCTAGCTTTAATTCATGGTGGTCTGATAAAATACAAGGTACTATTTCATTTTTTTTTATTTGTTGAGGCTTGTTTTGTGTTAAAATACATGGTCAATTTTGGAGAATTTGGAGTACCTAATTTTCCATTAGGTACTAAGAAGGTATATTCTTTTGTGTTTGGATAAAATGTTCTGTAGATCTGTTAGGTCCAATTCATTCATAATGTCAGTTTTGTTATTTCTGTTTAATTTCCATCTCAATGATCTGTTCATTGGTGAGAGAGGTATGTTAAAGTCTCCTACTATTAATGTGTGGGGTTCAATGTGTGATTTAAGCTTCAGTAATGTTTCCTTTACAAATGTGAGTGCCCTTGTGTTTGGGGCATATATGTTCAAATCTGAGATGCCATCTTGATCGATTTTTCATTTGATGAGTATTAAGTGCCCTTCCCCATCTCTTTTGATTTTGGTTGAAAGTGTATTTTATTAGATATTAGAATAGCTACTCCAGTTTGCTTCGTATGTGAGTTTGCTTGGAAAACCTTTTTCCAGCCCTTTACTCTGAGGTAATGTCTATCATTATTGCTGAGGTGTGTTTCTTGTATGCAACAGAATGACGGGTCCTGTTTATGCATCCATTCTGATAGTCTGTGTCTTTTTATTGGGGAGTTGAGGCCATTAATGTTGAGCGATATTAATGACCACTTGTTGTTACTTCCTATATTTTGATGTTGATGTTGGTGCTGTGTGTGCGTGCTTCCTTCTTTTTTTTAGGTTTTGCAGCTGTGGTGTTTTTTTTGTTTCCTATATTTTCATGGGTATAGTAAGCCTCCTCGGGTTGGAGTTTTCCTTCAAGTATCTTCTGTAGAGCTGGGTTCTCAATGTACTGTTTAAACTTGGTTTTGTCTTAGAAAATCTTGTTTTCTCCATCTATGGTGATTAAAAGTTTTGCTGGGTATAGTAGTCTGGGTTGACATCTGTGGTCTCTTAGTGTCTGCATAAAATCTAATTAGGCCCTTCTGGCTTTCATAGTCTCTATAGAAAAGTCAGGTGTGATTTTGATAGTTTTGCCTTTATATGTGATTTGGCCTTTTTTTCCCCTATAGGCTTTTAATATTCTTTGTTCTGTACATTTAGTGTTTTGATTATTATGTGATGGAAAGATTTTCTTTTCTGGTCCAATCTATTTGCTGTTCTGTAAGCTTCCTGTGTGTTTACAGATATTTCCTTCTTTAGGTTGGGGAAGTTTTCTTCTATGATTTTGTTAAAAATATTTTATGGGCCTTGGAGTTTGGAGTCTTCTATTCCTATCATTCTTAGGTTTGATCTTTTCATAGTCTCCCAGATTTCTTGGATGTTTTATTTCAGGAACTTCTTAGATTTAATATTTTCTTTGATTGATATATTGATTTTTTTTCAATCGTATCTTCCACACCCAAGTTTCTCTCTTCCGTCTCTTGTATTCTGTTATTGATGTGTCTGTAGTTCCTGTTCTCTTCCCTAGGTTTTCTATGTTCAGGATTGCTTCAGTTTGTGATTTCTTTATTGTTTCTATTTCCATTTTTTAGGTCCTGGACAGTTTTATTCATTCCCTTCTCCCGTTTGGTTGTAGTTTCTTGTATTTCTTTAAGGGATTTATGCAGTTTCTTCACCTGCTTGATTATATTTTTCTAAAATTCTTTAAAGGATTTATTTTCTTCTTTTAAGGCCTCTATCATTTTTCATAACCTCAGATTTAAGATCTTTTTCTTATGCTTCTGGCGTGATAGGATCTTCAGGGCTTGCTTTGGTAGGATAGCTGGATTTTGGTGGTGTCATTGGCCCGGGTTTTTGTTGCTGGTGTTCTCGAGCTGATGTCTAGCCATTTGGTTGACTCTGTTATTAGCAGGCCTGGTGCTCTCTGATGGTAATAGGTCTGTGGGGTTGTAGATGGAGCTCATAGTCCCAGATGGCCTCAGTCCTCTGGTTTTTCTGCTGTTCCCTGATCCCTGCTGGTCTCCAGTGCCTCAAATCAGGGTGCATGACTCGGAATGGCACAGGGTGGAGAACTGCCGCTCCCTGATCTGTGCTGGTCTCTGGGCCAGAGATAGTGGTAGGTCCTAGGAAATGGCACAGGCCAGGGTACTGC